CTCATATCCTCAAACTTACTATAAAATGTCATCTTTTCGATGGCTGAACCTTGGATGCGCTCTAATTCTTCTTGGGCAGCAGTTAGTTCCTTCATGCATTGTTCTACAATATTTGCTTCCTTTTCTAATATGGAGATGTTTGTTTCCTTTATTATTTGTCCTTGCAAATGATTAATTTGTATTCTTAACTTCTTTGATATTCTATAAAACTCATTTTCATGTGTCGATGATGTAGTACCAGTTTTTACCGGCAGATCTGGCACCCCTGTCTCATTTTCTTCAGCCATATTTGATATTTCGCAAGAATTACGAAGTACGCCCGAGCGCTCTCCGGTTGCTTTCCGATAATTAAGTATTCAAAATGGCGCCGAGACCACGTTGTATGATCGTTCGACCGGGCTATTTGCCCTTATAAACGCAAATATGACGCTCAAATGCGAATAAAGTACGTGTTTCTGACCTTGATGTCGACCAGGTTCGTTCCTTCGTTGTGAATTTAATTCGTTTTACTGTAACTCCTAGCGTTTCGTTAGTGATATTAGACGCATGTGCTAGGATTGTTCATTCGTTCATAAATACTGACAAGCAAGACGAGACATCCAGGATTAAAGAATAGTCGTAAGTCGTTAACGCAAGTTGAATCTAACCTTTAATATCCTTCTACATACGTCTAAACTTGACGTCTAAACTTGACGTAAAACGAATGTTTTAACAATAATATCACTAAGATAAGTCCTTCGTGTAAACTACAGTTCGCAAAAGTTCGCATAAGTTCAAGTTGGTATATTAAACGGTATGGTTTTTTGTGGGGCCTGAGCACTAATATGCCCTTACACGGTTCGCAGTTACAATTATTTTCACCGGAAAAATCTGTGTAAGACAGATCGCCAGGGCTAAAACAAAACAGTAAGTCTTATGACCACAAATTTTACAAGGTTTTTTTATGACTTTAATGTCCAATATTGAGATTAAAAAAAATTTCGTACTATCCATCCCATGAATCTTACCTGTGAAACGAATTACTCGTCCTTTTATGTAAAGTAAAGTAAATTGTTGCATCAGCAAGTGGAGCAAAACGGCACTTTAATTCCTTCCAAGTTGAAAAAAAAACCCAGCAAAATACGAGAAAAATATATTATGTTTTTAACTAAAAACTCTGTCAAAACCAGGGGCACAGAATACTACACAGAAGGCCATCTCCATTGTTTTTAGCGTAAAGGCCTAATTCCACGACGAGCGAAATGCGAAAAATTTCGCGCGAAAAGGTTGAACGCATGCGCAACATGATTTGGGAATGTTCCTCAGCGAAATATTTCTCTTCGCCGGGTAGTTGAATTCGTTTCTACTCCCTTGCGAAATGGAAATAGCGAAACCAATCAAATGCTTGTCTTTTGGATGACAAAATAGCGAAACCAATCAAATGCTTGTGTTTTGTCGAATTTTTTCTCCAAGTGTGGAAATCGCTACGAGAGAAAATTTTCGCACAAGTGTGTTTTCGCTCGAAATTTTTCGCATTTCGCTTGTCGTGGAATTAGGCCTTAAGCGCTATTCGCCATGATTCGTCACTCAGCAAGTACCGTAAACAGAAGCAGCCCCCCCTGGAAATACTAAAAATGGCGAACGTCCAGGGGGGTGACTGCTTCTGTTTACGGTACTTGCTGAGTGACGAATCATGACGAATAGCGCTTACACAAAAAAACAATGGAGATGGACTTCTGTGTAGTATTCTGTGCCAGGGGGGTGAAAACGTCGTCTGAAGCTCAGGATCGCGGTTGGTCAGTGGCAATTCTGTGAGAATTACGGACCAGTTGTCATGGAAATGGCGTCAGCAAACGTCAAAATCCGCCATTTTTTTGGCTTCACTTTGATCACTGAACGAAGTATAGGAGCAGGTCCTCCAGTTATTATACAGCTCAGTGGATTTGACTCACATGGGAACCTAGCCTGCGTAGCTGGCGGTTTTAAGGGGTTAGCGTCGAGGCGCAGGCAGCGAAAATTAGAGAGGTAGAGGTTTGCCTTTCCCGCGCCTCGCTTCCCTAATTTTCGTTGGCCGCGCCTCAACCCCAACCACATAAAACCGCCAACTACGTCGGCTAATTGGAACCGGGCCGGCCCGGTTTTCCGGGCTCCCGCTTGCATGAGAGTCAAAACAAGTAAGGAATGAACGAAGTAAAGAATTCCACTCACCCCTCTGAAGAAAGCGATGTAATACAATGAAGCATAGGAGTTAACAAATTGGAATGCAAACAACTTCACAATAAGAGCATCATCATAAGAAGTTTGGGTGCGATGATTTTCTGTAAAATATTAAATTAATGAAACAAATTTGAAATGCGATAATTTCGATCATCAAAAGGCAAACAAATCCGAACAGCCATATATAGTGTTAAAAAAGCTTTTACTTACCCCAGTCTGTGAGAATTACGGCAAGACGTTGATAACACTAGAATGATTAAAACCAGTTAATGGACCATTTGCAGAATTACTGGAGCGCAGCATTGATACACGCATAGCGTCTACTTTATTCTTATGAAAACAGACAGAAACTTCGAAAAGACTGTGTGTTTGTAAGACTGGACAAAATTCAAAAGAAATCAAAGAATGAAGTCGATGCTATGCGTCTATGCTCCAGTAATTCTGCAAATGGTCTCAGGGCTGCAAATAAATATTTGACTTGACAGGACATTTGTCCGATCACTTTTAATTTTGGTAGGACATAACTTGAATTTGATCGGACAAAAACCAACATCGCTACATTTGATCGGACATATATACTATAGTGTTTAGTGATAATGTACAGTTAATATATGCATAATAGATTAGTATGGATAGTTAGGTATAAATATGGATCATAGAAGTCGGCCATATTGATTATTGTACTTCAGTAACACATGTACAAGTTAGTAAGTTTTTCTGGTTGAAATATAAATCTCTTATAAGAAAGAGACACTAAATTGGCGACGAGGATGGTCAAGGAACAATATTTAGTTACAAAATAATGCCATAAAGTTGAAAGAGTTAGTGGATGGACAAGGATTAAATTCGAAAGAAAAAAAAAAATTTCATCTACATCGACTTTGTTAAATATGGCGGTTTTCAAAGCCTTTCATGGCGGAATACCAACGTTTGACCCAAAAGGTGAGCCCACCAGTATAGCTCCGAGGTGGAGAAGGTGGAAAAGAGCATTCGAACTCTTTGTTGTCGGAAAAGGAATTACCGACAAGACACAAAAATCGAGCTTTGATGTTACATTGTGCTGGTATGGATGTACAGGATATTTTTGATACTTTACCAGATAATGGCAATGCTAATGATTATGATAAGGCGATCGAAGCGTTGGATACATATTTCAACCCTGCTGTTAATGTACCGTATGAAAGACATATGTTTCGTCGAATGAGTCAAGAAGAAAGTGAGACAATTGACCAATTTGTAACAAGGCTGAAACAGAAAGCGTTGAGTTGTGATTATGGGGAATCTAGTGATGAATTCATCCGAG